GGAAAATCGAACAAGATGCAAGTCAGTAGGATTTTCCATGAATTGAGGCAGATCAAGCAAGAGCAGAAGACAGTGACTGAATTTGCGGGAGAAATCAAGAAACTCTATAGAGACCTGGAGTATTTTAGACCATTTAAGACATGATCCCAGGGATGTACCCCTCCTTCGAGAGTGGTCTGAACCATTGTTGGTTCAGACTTTTCTTGATGGTCTGAACTCAGAGTTCAATCTCCGTTCCCAACTCATACAAGCCACAGCAGATTGGCCTACATTGGATCAAGCCATCTCAAGTATACTTGAGGAAGAAACACGGCTAGCCAATCAGATCACAACTTCACAAACAAATGTTGATAGCAGAGCTGCACTATCTTCAGTTAAGCAAATTCAGTCTCCTGGTACTTCAAGAAATGAGCAAGCAAATGCTACTAGATTCGACTACACGAGAAAGCCTAAGATGGTGTGTGACCACTGTAAAAAACCAGGCCATTTGAAGAAGAGTTGTTTTGATATAGTTGGTTATCCTCCTGGATGGCAACCGAAACAATTTAACAGATTCACTAGTGGCGGTAGTAATGCAAGAGGACCAGATCGAGCTCATCTTACTTTATTTGGGGGAGAACGGTCTGCTGTAACAGCCCAAGCACTTGAAGAATTTAAAGGCAAACTTATGGCAAATACTTCAGAAGGCCCTGTTGAAGCTACATCTGATGCTCATTCTGGGAAAGGTACGAAGAATTTTTTTAACATCTTGGATAATTGATTCAGGGGCCACAAATCACATGACAGGCTCATCTAAGAACTTTTCATCATATACCCCTTGTTCTGGAAGGGATAGGGTACGCATAGCTGATGGATCCTTAGCTCCGATAATGGGTTATGGGAACGTTAATTGTACTCCATCTCTGTCCTTAAGCCCAGTCTTACATGTCCCTAATTTGCCAGTGGACCTCTTGTCAGTTAGTTCAATTACAAACTCACGTAATTGCAAGGCATCCTTCGACCCTCACTCATGTACATTTCAGGATCTGAAGACAAGAAGAAATCTTGGGACTGGAATTGAGCACGACGGCCTCTACTACCTTACCAATGCCTCGTCTCCATCTCCATATGCCCTCAGTATGATGAATAGCTTGACCACTGATGAATTTCTACTGATGCATTATAGACTAGGGCATCTGTCATTCCCAGCCCTTGGTCGCATGTTTCCATCTCAAGTTAAAAATTATTGTAAGGAGAAGCTTTTGTGTGATGTGTGTGAACTGGCTAAACACACTAGAACCAATTATCCTAGTAGTAATGAGAGAAGTAAGATACCTTTTGATGTGGTGCATTCGGATGTATGGGGTCCATCAGTTGTAACTGCCCTCACAGGGGATAGATATTATGTGACCTTCATTGATGGTTTTAGTAGGTGCACATGGCTGTACCTCCTAAAGCATAAATCTGAAGTTCTCCCTGCATTCAAAGATTTTTTTAATATGGTGCGTAACCAGTTTGGCATGAATGTGAAAATATTACGCTCCGATAATGGTACCGAATATATCAATGGTAAATCTAGTAATTTCTTGTCTTCTATGGTATTATACATCAAACAACTTGTGTGAATACTGCAGAACAAAATGGGGTGGCAGAGAGAAAGAATAGACATCTACTGGAAGTTGCTCGAGCTCTCATGTTTATGATGAATGTGCCAAAATTCCTTTGGGGAGAAGCGGTCAAAACTGCTGCCTATCTAATAAACCGTATGCCTTCTAGAGTTCTGGGCCATAAGACTCCTATTGAATGTTTGTATGGCTCTAACTCATTTATTGTGCCACCAAAAATATTTGGATGTACCTGTTTTGTTCATGATTACGGGAGTTCAGTAGGAAAACTTGATCCAAGAGCCGTCAAATGTATCTTTGTGGGCTATTCTTCCACAAAAAAGGGATATCGGTGTTGGTCGCCTACTGAAAGGAGATTCTTTGTGAGTATGGATGTTACCTTTCACGAAAAAGAACCATTCTATTCCTTAAAAGCGAATGACAATGGTACAGGCAACAAGGAGGAGAATATCATAGGAGAGAGCAATGATAGGGGAACTGTAATAATACCTATTGGGGATATCATACGCTCAGAAGATGAAATCGAGGGGGAGGAAACTACCAATACAAATGTAGAAGGTGATAATACATTAATATCTGAAGCGTATGAAAATCTTTCAGGTCAAGAGGAGATGGAAATAGAAGATGGGGAAGGTGTACCTCAGGAAGTTGATGAAGAAGTTGTGAATCAATCACAAGTACTAGAGGAGGCACCAACAAGTGAAGAAATGGCCCATGATGAGGGTGATGTTGAAGGTACTGAAACCCATATACCATCCTCTAGTACTCAAATAAATGATCAGCCAATTGCCTTACGAAAGAAAAAAAGAAAAGTAGATGTACCCGCGCGTCTGAAGGATTGTGTTGGATATAAACATGATCTTGCAAAATTTGTTTCGTATGACAGGTGTACTTCCTCTTTTAGGAGCTTTATTGCATCCTTGGATTCCATATCAGTACCTAAAGATTGGAAGGATGCAGTGAATGATCCTAAATGGAAAGCAGCAATGTTGGAGGAAATGTATGCTCTAGAAAAGAATAATACATGGCAATTGGTAGAATGGCCGAAGGGCAAGGAACCAGTCGGATGCAAATGGGTTTATACCATTAAGTGTAACCATGAAGGTAAAATAGAAAGGTATAAAGCTCGGTTGGTGGCCAAAGGCTACACACAGACTCGTGGTGTTGATTATGAGGAAACATTTGCCCCTGTAGCAAAAATGAATACAGTAAGAACTTTGATATCTTGTGCAGCTAATCTTGGATGGAATTTGTTTCAGCTGGATGTAAAAAATGCATTCTTACATGGAGACCTTCAGGAGGAAATTTATATGCATATACCACCAGGTTTCAACACGGTACAAACTGAAGGAAAGGTCTTGAAACTCCGCCGTTCACTGTATGGCCTAAAACAATCTCCTCGTGCGTGGTTCGGTCGGTTTAGAAAAGCTATGCTGAAATTGGGTTTCAGCCAGAGCAATGCCGACCATACTTTATTTTATAAAAAATGTGGTGGAAAATTGACGATATTAATTGTCTATGTTGATGATATTGTTATTACAGGAGATGATGATCAAGGTATTGAAAGAGTGAAGCAACATTTGAGGAACGAGTTCGAAGTCAAGGATCTAGGAGAAATGAGGTACTTTCTTGGAATTGAAGTCTCACGAAGCTCAAGAGGTATCTATCTATCTTAAAGAAAATATGTGCTAGATCTGTTGTCAGAAACTGGTATGTCTGGGTGTCGTCCAGCATTAACACCAATTGAACAAAAACACCGATTGACTAGTGAGTCAGGGGAACCTGTTGACCGGGAACAATATCAGAGACTTGTTGGCCGTTTGATCTATTTATCGCATACTCGTCCTGATATAGCTTTTGCCGTAAGCGTGGTGAGCCAGTTTATGCATAGTCCTAAAACTCACCACATGGATGCAGTAAATCGGATCATTCGGTATTTAAAGGGGTGCCCAGGTCGAGGTTTATTGTATAAGTCAAGTGGCAATTTACAAATAGAATGTTATACTGATGCTGATTGGGCTGGTTCATTAGATGATAGAAGGTGTATGTCAGGATACTGTACGTTTGTTGGAGGAAACATAGTTACTTGGCGTAGTAAGAAACAAAATGTTGTTGCAAGGTCCACTGCAGAAGCAGAATTCAGAGCTATGGCTCATGGAGTATGTGAAGTCTTATGGCTAAAAATCATACTGATGGAGTTGGGTCTATTCCAGGCAAGACCATTGATGATGTATTGTGATAATAAGGCTGCACTAGATATAGCAAATAACCCGGTTCAACATTGTAGAACAAAGCACATAGAAATTGACCGACACTTTATCAAAGAGAAACTTGACCAAGGAATAATATGTATGCATTATGTGAGCTCTTCAAACCAACTAGCGGATATTTTGACCAAAGGTCTCGCTGAAAAAGTGTTTTCTAGCTTATGTAGCAAGATGGGGTTATATGATGTGTTTGCCCCATCTTGAGGGGGAGTGTTGAGTTTAGTGGTAAATTTGTATTTGGTATGATGTACTAATGTGTAAATTATAAATGTCAGGAGGACAAGAGTGTAAAGAAGGAAGAGAGAGATAAGGAAAGGAATAGACGGCAGCTCATGATGTTGCTCCAGTTCTCTGTATTGTGAACTCCCCTCTCAAATCCCCTCTCAAATCCCTAGTTGATTCACACCAAAATTCGTTTCTTTTTGAGGGATTCAACAGTATCCATACTCTTTTAGACATATTTGCTCAAGATTAACTAATGTATCCTAATCAATGTACTACCTCCGTTTGAATTTACAAGGATTATTTGATTTGTCTTTAGTAAAATATTTTTAAGCCCGACTAAATATATCAACAGAAAATTAACATCAACAGCTTCATATAAATACAATATATGAAAATATAAGTCATTGTTACATCTAGTGATCTTGATTTACTCATGTAGATGTGGTTTTTTTAATAAACTCATTCAAACTGTAAAAGGTTTGACTTTAAGACAACCGAAATGAGCCTTGTAAAACGGAGGTAGTATGCTTTTTTTATTTTTTATTTCCCCTGATTTCATTCTTCGGTGCAGGCGTGCAATCCATCGGCGTGTGCTACGGTATCATCGCAAACAACCTCCCGCCGCCGAGGGAAGTGGTGCAGCTCTACAGGTCCAAGGGCATCACCAACATGCGCATCTACTCTGTCCAGCACCAGGCGCTCCACGCGCTCCGTGGCTCCGGCATCAGCCTCATGCTCGGCACCACCAATAACGACGTCGCCGTCCTTGCCGGCAGCCGGTCCGCCGCCACCTCCTGGGTGTGCGGGCCAACGTAAAGCCCTACCACAGCGCCGGGTGACCATCCGGTACATCGCGGTCGGCAACGAGGTCACGGGCGGCGCCGCGCAGCGCATCCTCGCCGCCATGCGGAACCTCAACAAGGCCCTCGCAGCGGCTGGCCTTGGCGGCATCAAGGTGTCCACCGCGGTGAGGTTCAACGTGCTCACCAACTCCTTCCCGCCCTCCGCCGCCGTGTTCGCTCAGCCCTACATGGTCGACATCGCCCGGCACCTGGCCAGCACCAGGGCACAGCTACTCGCCAACGTGTACCCGTACTTTGCCTACAGCAACAACCCGAGGGACATCAAGCTCGACTACGCGACGTTCCAGCCGGGCGCCACACCGGTGAGGGACGCCGACAGCGGGCTCGTCTACAAGAACCTCTTCAGCGCCATGGTCGATGCCATGTACGCGGCGCTGAAGAAGGCGGGGGCGCCGAGCGTGAGGGTGGTAGTGTCGGAGAGCGGGTGGCCATCCGCCGGCGGGCTCGCGGCGACACCGGAGAATGCGCGGGCGTACAACCAGGGCCTCATCAACCATGTGGCACACGGCACGCCCAAGAAGCCTGGGCCCATGGAGGCGTACGTGTTCGCCATGTTCAAGGAGAACCAGAAGCCCGGGGTTGAGACTGAGAGGCACTTTGGGCTCTTCTATCCCAACAAAACGCGGGTGTACCCCATCAATTTCAGAGGAAGATTGGTTGCGGCCAACCACACAAACTCCCATGGGCTTGGTGGACACTAGACTGATGAACATTTCGTAACATAATAATATACTGGTAGAGAGAATAAAAAATATTATCAAATCAATCATGCATAATGGCAAACATGGAACCCCTTCCCCTCCTCGGGCTCTCGCGACCGCGTCACCCCCGCGGGCGACCGGCCGCGCCCCGATCTCCTTCTCCAGCGACCCTCCCTCCTCCTTCCCTCCCCGCCGCCGTCGTCGGCGCTCGCCGCCGGGCCCGGCCCGAGCGACGTTGGCGGCGGCGGCCCCCTCGCAATTCCCCTCTCGGCACTCCTCTAGCGCGGGACGGAGCGGGCTGGGGGGGCTAGGCGGCGGCGGTCCGGCGTGGCGGCGGGGTCCTGGCGCTGCGCGGGCGGATGGCTGGGCGGTGGCGTCGCCGTTGGCGGCGGGGTAGCGCGGCGGCGCGTTCTGGCGGCGCCGCTCAGCCCAGATCTAGGCCCTTCGGGCCCCATCTGGGCCCGGGCGGGCTGGCAGTGGGGTGCGGCTGCGGCGCGTCCTCCAGGAGGCGGGGGGAGGCGAAGAACGGCAGGGTGCTGGCGGCGCCATCGCCGGCTTGCTGCAGCGTGGCGGCGGGGCTTAGCGGGCCCTTTTCGAGCCTGGCCGGGCCAGGGGTGACCTGGCATGCCCTACTGCCGCGTCCGGACGGCTACCACGACGGTGCCGGAGGTTCTGGCCTCCCGCACAACGGCGGCGGAGGTGGTTCCCTCCCGTTCGGCTTCGGTGTTGCTTCTCCCTCCGCGGGGCGCTTCTCTCCGGTCCTCTTGGCCTCGTGTTGGTGTCCGCAGTGAGGCGGCGTGGGTGGCGGCGCAACCGTGATGACGCATGGTGGTGGGCGGTGGTCTGGCTGGTCGGCTCCGGTCCGTTGGGCGGTGGGGATGGAGTGCGGGAGAAATCCTTGCCGGTTCTTCGGCTTCGATGCGGTGACACCTGCGGGTGCCACCATTCCTCCCTGAAGGGTGTCGGTGATATCCATCCCCCACCTCCCTCCACGTGCCGGGGGAAACTCTAGGACATGTCCGGGCAGCAGCGTCGTCGGCGTCGCATTCCTTCTTGGAGGTGCTGCTTGGTACGCGGTGGTTCGGAGCCTCAGGTTGTGGTGGTTTGTGTCTGGAGGGCGTAGCGGTGACGGGTCATCCGCGCTTTGTCGAGCTGCCGTTGTTGGCATTTGTTTCTTCTTCTTTTTCTTTTAGGCTTGCTGTGCTGTTCGCCCCAGCTTTCTTTGTATCGGTGTTGGTTGCTTTGGAATACAAAAACGGGGGAAACCCTTTTTCGATAACATCCTCTCTGCCTAATCTCTTCTCTAACTCTATCTATCTTTAAGACCATATCATGGCACCATGCTTTTACATTGTTCTCACTTCATTTTCATTCTTTAAAATTTCAAAACCCCAAAACACCGGATAGTGAAGACGAAATTTTAATAAGTGGGCTCACGCATTATCAGGCTCGCTCGCCGGATCACATTCGAGCCCATAAGTATCAAAATTCCGTTGGCACTTGGGCCGTCCTGTACCCCCAATTCGTGCGGCTCGCTTGCTCGACGCTGCACACGTGATACGACCGTCTGTGTCTCACAAAAAAGGAAAAAAAAATCCAAAATAAACCTTGAAGTTGTAGACGAAAGCTAAATCAAACCCTGAACTTTAAATCCCGAAAATTGACACTCTAAACTTGTAATCCTGGTCTATTTTGGACCCTATACCTGTTTGCCACACCGGGAATACTACAATCCTGGCCGGGATAACCAGCTACTTTCACGGGCAAGAATTTGGCCCGGCCCACTATAGCACAACAAGAATTCATGAAGCTTAAAAAATGTTCACACATTTCTAAAATTGTTCAGAAGTTAAAAAATGTTCCTGTTTTATATTTTTGGCACGAATTCAATTCATTTTGTGTTTTAGAAAATATATTTGGAATTATGAAATTCTATTCGCATTTTAAAAAACTGTTCGCGATTTTAAAAAATTCACATTTATCAAAAAATGTTTAGAATTCCAACAGTTTTTCACATGCTATGAAACATGTTTCGGATTTTCAGAATTGTGTCATATTTTTTGAATAATGTTTTTGAAATCTCATAAATTATTTCGTAAATAATATTTTTTAAAAATGTTTCGGATTGTTGGCTGTGGACTTGACTGGGCCGGCACACAAGACATAATGAGAGTATTTGTTTTCCTATCACGCACCATAAAAATTCTTTCTTTCTTTTTTTAACGCGCGGCATAATAACTTCGAAAGGGAAAAAAATGCCGTGGAGTCAAACTTGGGACCTGGAAGGTTTGATCTGATTTCACTAGCCACTGCACCAGACGACTGTGACTGAAAAAAATAAGAGGCCAAAAATATTTAATCCGAAACCAAAGCGTGACACGACCGCCCACACGGTTTAGCTTTCGCCTACAAATTCATGGTTTGTTTTGGATTTTTTCAAAAAAAAAAAACGTGACAGGACCACCCGGAGCTCCTGCTCTGCTCGCCGCCGCAGCAAGCATTCCACCTGCCGCCTTCATCCACGCTCTCACCGCCACGGCCGCACCACCACCCTCGCCGACTAAATCCATCAGGCCTCCCACCGCTCGGAGCCGCCGCCCGTCGCCGGGCGTGTCCTCGACCTCGCTTCTCTAGGGAGCGCTTGACCTACCGCCGGATAGATGCTGGGCACGCGCCCGTCTGTCCTACCTCCGTCGGGGCGGGTCGTCCTCAGATTCATCGGCCGCGGCGATCCTGTCTTCTCCTCCTCCTCAGATTCATCCCTATTCTCCTTCGAGTCTTCGAGCTCCTCGCTCCCGCATGTCGATGGTGAACTATCTCAATGTTAGATTGGGTTTGTGTGGAATCCTTGGTAATGTAGTATAGTTCGATTGGATGCTGCATTAGCCCAGTGGAATCTTGCCCTTTCGAGATTGATGACAATGAGTCAGTGACATCCAGTAGCAGGAGTATGTGACACCAAAAATTCCTCACTGGTTCCATTGCAGTACTTGGAGTATTACTAGCTACTTAGGATTGATTAGCATTTGAGAATATGAGAGGCAATAACAATTTATCATGCTATTTTCCTCTGATGTGAAATGTGATGTGAGCATCCATTTTTTATACTGTACTAACATTCTGTATTCTATTCAGCATGTCATGTTCAGTTAATCAGTTGGACGCTGGATCATAGCAGCTGTTGTGTTACCCTATGAGTATATCATCGTAATGTTGCCGTTTTCACATTTACTGTCACCACTTTGTCCATATATTTTTCATTAGCTTAATGGAGTGTAAACTTCTGGAATTGGCTCTTACCATCCTGCTTGCTGGTTACTAAAGGTTGCATAATTCAGAATTCAGATGACCTGATCAACTGATGCACCGTTTTCTTCCTATATCTTGGCATTTCAGCAATGGAACAAGTCAAAGCTATATACAGTGAACTACTTTTGAAATTGCTTCATACTCGAGCCAAACTCATCTGAAATGGGTTAGAATAAATGAATAAATGGCGTGCATTGATACACACAGAGGCCAGCGGTTTATCTCTTTTTTGGAAAGAAAAAAACAAACCGAAGTGGGTTAGAAGACGTCTGCAATATCCTTTTTAATCTGAGTTTATGGCATGAAGTTTCAGGTTCAAGCTCTGGTGTAAAAGTAGCAATATGTACTTAGAAATTAGAATATAGACCAGAAAGTTTTACTTCCATTTCTACTTGCAAATAGTTCAAGCTCTGATGTCAAAGTCACCGGAGTATCTTTATCTCTTTGATTTGAGCTTTACTGTTGGTGTTGGGAGTTATTCTCTCCAAAATTTTTTTTTGGTATAAATCATGGTAATTAAGAATATTGACCATGACATGGAAATGTTATTAATACTCCGTCCTATCTCGGGAATAAGAGAGAGACTCTTCAGATTATTGCCTTGGGAATATAAGAAGTCTGCATGCAATGCACGCTTAAATGACTATACTTTTGACCTGGACGCTCCTTCATAAGTACACAGATTAAGACCGAACCACCATTCCCTTGATACATTCTGCTGCAGCTCTCCAACCTTCAGCACCGCAGTGAGCTTCTTCTGCGAAGCTTGTTCAGGTTTGCAATTTATTTACTCTTCAACGCCTGCATAGAACATCAGTATTTGTTTTTTAGTTTTATCGTTGTTTTTTGGTTTCCTTTTATTTCTGCTGATTGTCAGCAACTGGTAGGATATAGAAATCAGTCTCGTTATACAGTGATAGGAATTTCAGAAACTGAATGTTCTATGGTGTTTAACCATCAGTGATTTCAGAGAAATATTTCATGCATCAGAAAATTATGGTTGACACAGTTTCTTCTGCCAAGTTGCTCTCTTTGTTTACAATTTAGTCATTTCTTTCCTTCTACCACGCCTGCATAGAGCAGCAGTATTTGTTTTTGTATCTTATTAGTTGTTTTGCTTTCTTTTTATTTCTGCAGAATTTCAGAAACTGATATAAAAATAGTCATGTTGTACATTGATAGGAATTTCAGAAACTGATTGTTCTATGGTTATTAATCAGTGTTTTATTTCCCATGAGCACAGGAAACCTTCTTGTATTCCCAAGGCATTAATGGCTTTTGAGTTCTTCACAATCTTGCTCTCAAATTCGTTGAAGAAACTGGTACCGAAATACATCCTACTCGCACAATCTAATCTATTTCTATGCATTGATCTTTGATCTGTTTGGCCGCTTGAACACCTGCTTTCAACCACTGCTTAATCTTCGTCGCAGAGGCTGCCAGGCAAGTTCGCTAGGGTGTTCGACGGCCATGAGCCCTTTGAAGTGAAGTTGCGGGAGGCCGGGCGCTGGCATCGCTTGTGGGACGTGGAAGTTGTGTTCGACGCCAAGGGCCACATTTACCTGGGGCGCGTCTGGGAGCAGTTCGCCGGCGCTCATGATCTGCGGCTCGGGCACTTCCTCGTCCTAAGCTATGACGGCTGCCACGCCATGCTCACCGTGAAGGTGTTTGACGGGAGCATGTGCCGCAGG